ATATTTTAACACTTCCCTAGGTAATACTTTCATTTTATCCATAATTTTTAAAACAATTTTCAGTCATACCACTCCCACAGCCTGCTACTGAAGAGTCAGAGGGAGAGGGAGGAAGGGGAGAGGGAAGGTCCCAGTTCTGATTGGTGGTTGATCACCTTGTGGACAAGGCATTTCATTGGTGTCTCCACCCGGAAGCCTTTGGAATCCCAGCAGATCTTAGGTATAGAGTTGAGAGGGTGGGAAAGCTGGGGAGAAAGGCTATGGATTCACACTCTCTCTAACTGAATATGATTAATTCTTGGGCCCTCAGTGTGACTCCCTCTTCCTATCCCCTTTTCATTTATGTCAAATAGGTCTGATGAAGAGGGACTGAGGTGAGGGGAATTTTCCAAAAGATTTTTTTAGTTTCATTTTAAATACACAGCAGGTTGAAACTACTGAGTTGCTCAGCTTGATAGGATGTGGTAAAGGAAAAGGAAAGGAAGTGTAGATAAGATAGATTAGATAAAGAAGGCCTCATATATCAGGTTATGGAATTTAGATTTTCTCTAGTAGGCAGCACAGGAAACCCTGGATATTGATTTATTTGTTTGTTTGTTTGTTTGTTTATGTATCTAGATTCCTAATTAGAGAAAACATGTCGTAGTAGGATAGAAATTTTTTCCAATTATAGAAATAAATCTTAAGCATAGAAGATGCTAAGGGTTATTGTTTGTTTTATTTTTAACCTCTTTCAAGAGCTATTATATGTTCAGTCCACAGTTTCCCTAGATTATTACTGTAACAGTATTGTTAAGGGAGTTAATCCCAGAATTAATACCAAGAGAGTCAACAAAATTGCAGTCCAGCCAACATTTGAGGAACTCAAACAAACATTCACATATTCTAGCTGTCCTGCCAACTAGAATTCCTTTCCTTTCCTTTCGAAGTCTCACAAAGGAAATACTCTCTCCTGATGTTTCCCTTGATATGTAAGGTCAAATAATTAATTATTCCTTTTCTTTTTAAGAGCATGTTCAACATGGTGGCTCCTGATATCTTTCTGCAGCCCAGCCATCTTCTAAGTCAGATTTTAAGAATATCATGACCCAGAACCCTTTGTTTCAAAATTGATTTCTGCAGAAAATCAAAGGTGGGGTAGTGTCTATTTAAAAACCGATTTTTTTTTTAAAAGACTCTCTTTCTCTTGCCCTTTCTCCCTTCCTCTCTCCAGAAGCTGAAAGGAGTTACTAATGAAAGGGTTAATAGCCTGTAAAAAATGTTCTGTTCCATTTAGATCAGTTCACTTTTCTCTCCTGGATTAAAATAGTATGATTTTAGTAGCATTTTGTCTCAAACAATTCTATTTATAGAGCAATTAACATTTTTACTTTTGGGTCATTTTAAACCATCACATGTATGTACTACAAGTATTTTAATAAAATTATATTGACTTACAATTCAAGAGGTTTTATAAAGTAAGAGTCCAATCTAAAATAAAATGCAGTTTGAAGAAATAAATTTGGAAAGTATGTAACTTTTATCATGTTTCAAATTTTGAATGACATGTTTTCATTGCACACTGTCCCATAACTATACTAATAATAGCAACTTGTTATTGAATGCCCAACTCTGCCAGGCAGTGCTTTACAGAAAGTACAGTTGACCCTTGAACAATATGGGTTGGAACTACTTGGGTCTACCTATATGCAGATTTTTTTTTCAGTGAATACATATTACAGTACTACATGGTTGGTTGAATCTGATGATGTGGAACTATAGATAAAGTGGGTCAACTATAAAGTTATATGTGGATTTTCAACTGTGCATCAGGTCAGCACCCCTAATCTCACATTGTTCAAGGGTCAACTATATAATAAAAATTCCTGTGAGATAAATGTGACTGCTGTCAACTGAACAGTGTTCTCCCCAAATTCATAAATACAGTGTAACTGTATTTATCTCTAGACTTTCTAGGAAGTCATTATGGTTAAATGAGATCATAGGTGGGGCCTAACCTAGTAAGACTAGTGGCCTTATAAGAAGAGAAGAGAGAGAGAGAGAGATCTCTTTTTCTCCTTGCAGGGTGCTTGCCCTTAGGAAAGGCCATGTGAGGACGCAATGGAAGGTGGCTGTCTACCAGCCAGGAAGAGAGCCCTTACCAAACCCCAACCATTCTGGAACCCTGATCTTGAACTGCCAATCTGCAGAACCTTGAGAAAATAAATTTCTGTTGTTTAAGCTCCCAGTCTATGGTATTTTGTTATCACCGCCTAAGCTGGTTAATACAGTGACTATTCCCATTTTATGGATTAGAAAGCAAACTCTTGGCCAGTAACAAAACTGGCATTTGAACCTGATGTGTCTGACTACAAGTAAAAGCCCTCTCTAGACTGCCCTCTGAATTTTGACTCTGAAAATAGTTATTATAGATAGCCCTTTTAAAAAATACCAAACTTTTCATCTGTTGTTTGTTTGTATAGGCATATGTACCTTGGAGACATTGCAGGTTGGGTTCCACTGCAATAAAGCAAGTCATGTGAATTTTTTGGTTTCCCAGTGCACATAAAAGTTATGTTTACACTATACCATTGTCTTTTAAGTGTGTGATAGCATTATATCTAAAAAACAATGTAATAAACTTTAATTGAAAAATGCCTCCTCATCTGAGCCTTCAGCGAGTCTTAGTAGTAACATCAAAGATCACTGATCACAGATCACCATAACAAATAAAATAATAGTGAAAAAGTTTGAAATATGTGACATAGAGACACAAAGTGAGCAAATGCTATTGGAGAGATGGGGCTGACAGACTTGCTTCACACGGGGCATGAAGCACAATAAAGCAAAGCACAATACAATGAGGTGTGTCTGGATTTTTGTTTTTACTAGGTTTCACAAATACACACAAAACCAGTTGTCTTTGCTCAGTTCTATTCATTATCATCTGATTTTTGTGTAGGAGCAGAATGTTATTGAGTTTCCAGAATTTCAGGTAATAATGTTGAAAAAGGTAGCCAAACTTACCCAAACTGCAATGTTGAATAATCCAAGATTTACTATTGCTGTATTTACTTTTTGTAAAACATATTAAGTCCAAAATATCCAGTTTTGTGCCTGAAACTAATTGGCAGTATCCCATTAAACCATATTAAAATTAACATCTATTAATTGGATTAGAAATTCAGTGAGAATGACAGCTGTTAGTGCCTTTTACAGTTACTTTGTTTCTCTATAATCCATATGGCAGAAATCACATAACGCTTTTTTCCCATTTGAAATAAACAGTTGAAATAAAAAGGTTTGCCTCAGCGTGGTCAGGGTATGTGCACTTGTTTTCTTTCTTTCTTTTTTTTTTTTTTCAAAAAAACTTTTTGTAAAAACTGAACTATCTTTTTTCCCCCCTCTTTCACAGGTTTTCACCAGCCATACTTTTATATCTGATTAGCATTGTTCCATCATTATGGCTTCTTGAAATGCACCATGAGACTCAGGTATGTAATAGGAAAGCGGAATACTCAGCAATAAACTATATTCGTATCATAATGCAATTTCTGCCAGAAACGCACTTTCCTAAGAAATTGGTGTTATCAATGATTGAATAAGTAAGAAGCCATCAGCAAAAAGGAAGTGAATCCATGATCTGTCAAAACCAATAAAAATGGTGCATTCATTTAAGACTTAAGATTAGATCATTAATAATTTGTGTTAGAGATCTTGTTCCTAAGACGTCCCCCACCCCAATATTCTACAGTTTACATGGGGGTATAAAATTTTGGTTTTAACCCTTGCAATTTCAATGAGTTTCTATATTGTGCTAAGAATGGGCAGGGCTCAATAACCTAGCATCCTACAAGTGACAGTTTTAGGAACAACACGAACAAAAAAGAAACCCCATCATCTGTATTCTGTTATACAAATACAATCAAACTTGGGGGCACTGTTTGAAATAGTGTGTCTTAAAATAACAGGCTTTGCAGATTACAGGAGATTCAATTTTGAGGGCCTCAAGAGCTGTCTTAGGAGAACAGGAATTTCACTCAAGGACTCTGAAGTAAGTGTAAAGGAGAGGAGTCAGGGGATCCACCATGGGGAAAGGTGAGCTTTCTGGATTAAGACCACACTGGCCTAGAAAATAAAGTGGCTTCCAATAAGAGTCCCTAATCTATGTAGAGAGAGATGTTCTGATTTTTATGTGAGTTGCTTCTTACATGGGAAACCCTAGGTAGCAGGCTCTAGACTGGATTCAGCCATTTACTGTCCTTAATGCCTATACAACACTGAAAGGACTAGTTAGTAAAGTCCATCAGACTCCAGCCTGGACATCACATCGTCAGGGTTCACGTTATTGCACTATGTTTTACAGATGAGCCATCGTTATGATATAATATTATTTTAGTACCTTTACTGACAAAATCTGTGAGAATCTTTCACAGATTTCTCTGCTATAGTTGGTCATTTTGTGGCAAAGTTAAGCCTCTGATATATGTTTCAGGCATTCAAACCTTATCTGGAAAATGCTTGCCCCAAATATCAGGCACACAGAGGGGAATTTAGTTCTGTGAACTATTTTTGAAGAATTCCACAAGCATGTGCCAATAATGTAGACATGAAGAAAACATTTCTCTGCCTAAATCTGCTGTTTGAAAAAGACTGATGTCTTAGGCTATCTCTATGTCTGTAGAAAGTATTTTTATCACGGTAGACTGGTTGGTTCAAGTTATCATAGCTTTTAAAAACTGTACCATAAGGATTAGGGGACTGTTTCAATTTCCTTACTACTTACTACTTTCAGGGGTATGGAAATAAGCTCTGGTGATTTGAATCATTTTTTTCCCCTTCACATCCAATTCTACAACATGGCTATCATCCACAATAACAATTCATTTCCCCAAATGCTTTCATAATATAAATGCATTGCACAGTTAATTGATACACAGGTCAAATCCCATTACAATAAATAGCATGCAACCAAAAGCTCTCTTTTTAATAAAAAAAGATTTTTGAGCCCCGGGCAGTGCCTCTCTAATTTTCATACTACAAAAGAAATTGGACCTTTAGTAGTAATGGATGTGACTCATTTTGACACTAGAATTAAAATGAATGCCCAGAGATTGAACTGGGCAGGATGGGCAGAGATGGAAGTAGAAAAAAAAGGAGAGACAAAAAAATTTGGAATTACATTTAAAGAAGTAAGAAATGGCAGAATAAAAGGGAGGTGCAGAAGTTCTTAAGTCCATTCTGTAAGAAATTTTGGTTAGGATAATAATCACTCTTTTCACATAGTTTCTTCATTTCAAAGCATTTTCAGAAACATTTTCTCATTTATGGACCCAGAAACTCCTCAAGTTAGACATGGTATATAGATTTCTATTTTATAGAAAAGGATCCTGAGACTCAGAAAGGTTAAGTAATTTTCCCAAGGCCACACAGCTAATCAGCAGCAGTTCTGGGGCTTAGAACCTAGGTCTCAACCCTTAGGCCATTAAACCACACTGCCTTTCTCAATTGTGTGTTCTATGTTTCACAGGAATTTGTGTCAAAAATCTGCTGAATTTTTCATGATGGGAAAGAATAATTTAATTTTCTTTCCCATTTTCCATTTACTCTACATCCTAAATGTTCTAACCTATGACTTGGCATTAGGAAAACATCCTGACCTATTTCATGACAACATTTCTCGTAGATGATCAATTCTGTGCCATCGTTTCTGAATCTGGCTCTTTCTCCACACATGGAAAGAAGATGGTTATGATAATAGTTATGACCTTAACTCTTAGTCAAGTCTATTTATGAAGTGGGCACAATTAAAGCAAGAGAATTTTTCTGGTCTGTGTGGTGTCATAGTCTGGTTTGACCCAAAGGTATTATTTTTGAAGCTATTAAAAGTTTTTAAGATATAGCCCACGAAAAAGTGACATTTTGGCACCCAGATCACCCATATAACTCACTTGTACAATGCTGAATGTGGTTTTAGGAGTCAAACCAGTTATTCTTTTCAGTTCTAATGCAGTTGCCACTTAAAGGAAAGTCTCACCAATTTGTAACAAACAGAATCTAAGAAGGGAGAAAGACTCAGGTCTTTACACCATAACATGAACTACAAAGCTATTTGCTACCAAGTTATTTTATCCTGAGTAGAGATGACCATTTTTAAAAAGTAAGATGTCTATGGATTTTTAGTGATAAAAATGTAAAAATCATATCAAGGTCACTATTTTTTATATACAATCTGCTTTCATGCCGGGAAAAAAAAAGTGGTCAAATTTGTTTCCTTTGAACACTGGGTTCTTAGAGTCACAAAACTCCTCTGCAATGAAGATTTGTTGCTTGGCTCAAAAATTCAAGTTGTTATCTTCATTATCTTTTCTTAGAGTTTTAACTGTTAAAAAAAAGTGTGCAACCAACTGCATTTTTGCTTTTAGAGATACAGCACATGGCCATTTTTCTTAATTATTCTTGTCATTTCACCCATAACACTAGTTGTTTTGATGGAAGGAAGAAAAAAATAGCTCCTTGACAGACTTCCTTTTCAGCTTTTTTAAGGAGCTCATAGAATGATCGATGAAGTATCCAGAATAATTAAGAAAAATACACTTCTCACAGTGTATTAGCATTTAAAAAAATAATTTCTCTCTAAAGCCAAATGTGTGATCATGGATATGTGGTGGGGGTGTGCGTGTGTGTGTGCGCGCACGTGCATGTGTTTCAAAAGTATGTTGGCTCTGCAGATGTTTAAAAAAAATCAACCTTTTTAAAAATCCATTTGTGAATTAATCATTGGCTACAGTTACATTTTCAAGGACCCCCCCTTTCCTCTCATGCACTTTTTTCTTCTCTTTTCTCTACGTCAGATTCCTAGCATCTGGCTGAATAACAATCATGCCCAGTATACTTGTAGAAATTTACATGCAAAATGAAAGAACAAGAAGAGAAAAAAATGCCATTTATTTTAGATGAACTGTTGAATTTTCTATAAACCTAAACTGACTTCTAAACTGATGAAAAATGTATATTTTGGTGGATGAATACATTAATTGGCAGGTGGAGTGGTGTTACAGTGCTTAACAGACAAGATTGAAAGCAACTGGATTATCTACTTAAGCAAAAAGGTATTTTAGATAAAGAGGCTCTGGCCAAGAAACAAAGCCTTAGAATGAATGCTTTGACCAGATCATATATGTTTTTTAATGCTGTCATTGGTTGTTGGTGTTATAATTGTTCTAGGGTTGAAAAAAGAAACCTCTATTATCAATCCATAAATTCCACAGTTTTCCATAATGATCAAAAGCACGTTCATCCTCATAGACTTGCGGAAAAATAAGACATGCATAGTTGACTCTTCTCATGTTAAGTGAAAAGTGGTTTTCTATCTGAAGCCTATACTCTGATTTTTGGAGATATTTATGCATACTGTGTAAACTTCATGTTTCTGCTCATAATCTCTTAGCTACATTGAAGCCATTTTAAACCCTACCTATTGTGATATTTTTTGACATATTGACTTTACAAAAAATTCTTAGTATTGCAGTAGCCAGTCTGAAGGAATGTCACAGAATACCAGCAGCAAAGAAGACTTCAATCAAACTCTAATGTCAAGTGAACAAACCAACGGAGCGGATGACCTCATTGAGACGGTGAGAGATTTCTCACTGTATATTAAAGGATTTAGCAAATCACCTTTTCACTTAGTGAGGATAATGTGCTCTGTACATTTTAGCTCATTCTTTCCTAGGGAAATTTGCCAACTGTTTGGCTCAGAAATTCACAAAAGAATCATATTTTCATATATTATTAAATACATAACATGCATAATGTGCACATGTATTTTACACATATTAATAAATGTATTTAACCTGCAGCATTAAGGAACCTTTAACACTTAGATTAGACAATTTATGCACAAAGAGAGATACGTATATTTGCGAAGGAATGATGTAATTAAAAGATTGAGGTCTGCCTTATATATTTTATTCTTCCCTATGTGTAGATATCTGTGTTTATATTAATAAAATAGGGAAGGTTTCCAGCCAAAAGAGAATCACTTCTTTGTTCTCATGCTTGATATTTGGCCAACTAACCAAAGTTAACTAGAAAATGATATGCTGGAGAGAATCAAGGCCAAGGCCCCTATCACTGAACCATGTTTTCAACAATAAGATAGACTATTGGTTCTATGAAGTTTACTAGAACTAGCTTTGGGTTCTAATTCAAGCTTCAGTCACAGCTTACCCATATCACTTTGAACAAATCCCTTAGTCTGTCTCTCAGTTTATCATCTGACAATTGAAAATATTACTATTTACCATGCTAGTATGCTTCCTTTAAGAATTAAATAAGATGTACGTGAAGTCTCATAGAAGATATATAATGTGTGTAAATGAAACATTGATCTTCATGCATGGCTTCAAATCAGGTCAGCATCCTGCTTTGTCTTTTATTCTCTCTTAACCTTTACACTTGACACCAGCACATGATCAAGAGGGGTTAATAAATATTGTACAAATACAGTTAAGTCACTTGTGTAATTCAGTTGGAATCACTGTCCAATTCACTTGAGATCTACACCACAATAGTCTTTAGTAGATCATAACTTGTAGGGCCAATAATATACTTTAAGTTATTCAGAAGCTAAGTGGACAAGATAAAGCATCCAGAATACGTGAATGAGATGTAAATTTTTCTCAGAGTCTGAGAATAAGGGCAGAATAAAATTTGGTTGCTAGCTTATTGGTTTTTGAGTAATATCTTAAATGTTCAGAATAAAAATGACTTTATAGTTATTCCCTTTCTTTACTTATAGGTAATGAATAAACATTATTATATATTTTATCATCTGATACAGTGTTTTAAAGCAATAAAAATCAGAGAAATTTGTACCATGCAATAATGTTCCCAGATTAGTAAATTCAGATTTGAAATCTATAAAAGAAAAATATAGGAATTTATTTAATATTAACATGAAGTTTAAAATAGTTGCTACATGTTATACTTGGTACAGAGTATGATGAAATGATAAAACGAGAAATTATCTATAAAACATTGTAAAACTGGCTTTTCAAATACCATACAGTTACAATCCCATTAGCAAGTGAGAGGTTTAAATTACTTCTAGTTATAAGGCTGTCCCATTTTAAAAATCACATTAGCTTTTATTTTTTCCCAGAGTATTCAGTTGAAAAGAGTTTTACTTTCTTTAGTAAGTGAGGAATCATTTTCTGTAAAGGACCTTCCACAAAAGTTAACTCTTGATTGAAAGCTATGGTGAAGAAGGCATCTCTCTCTAAGGTGGCAGCTCATGATCCTTCTGTCTGTATGACATTTTTGTTAAACAGGCCAAAGTTTTTGTAAATAACTTATCTACAGTATGCGAGAAAGTTTGGACTTTGGGACTCCATCAGACATTCCTGCTAATGCTCATAATTGGAAGATGGCTTCTACCCATTGGAGGCGAGATCACACGGGATCAACTCTCTCAACTTCTCCTTATGTTTGTGGGGACAGCTGCTGACATACTGGAATTCACAAGTGAGACCTTGGAAGAAGAAAATGTGAGGTAAGCAGGCTCTGCAATGAAAAGACCTTCTTTTCAAGATCAGGTCCACACACCTGTTTCTTTGTTCTACCATTTATATTCTGTATGAATAAGAATTTTCAGTATATCATTTGTCCAATGGTAGAATCAGAATTTGCTGCTGCTCAGGTACATATTAGGTACCAGCCCAGTTTATACATACATATATTTCCCATGGGTAAGAGAACAGAGAAGCTCTGCATGTTTGCATGACCAAAGGTTAGGTGAAGCCATGGTTATCCAAAAACCTGGAGGTGGAACGATCACCCCTAGCTCCACGTTCACATTCTCAAGTGTCCAGGAATGTAGCTGATTGTAAGCTTCTCTTCTAGAGCAGAGCACAGTGACAGTTCCAGGAAAGCACCTAGAGGAGACATGGAGTAATCTTTCCTCTAACTGGTTGGGGAATTTATATTCCCTGGTGCGAATAGAGAATGAGGCAGATTAGGTTTTATTTTACTAAATTTTATTTTCAGTCAGTTTTGTTCAAAGTGCCCAAAGGCTAACTGGTGTAGATGCCTATAAATTAAAACTTATTGAGTTGGTACTTTTATTTTTGCCACAAGCAAATAAACTCAGAATCCATGATCACATCTGTTTATGGAACTACTTTCTTACCTTTAGGGATTTAAGTCTCAGTGCCTGAATGTACTTTCAGCTTGGCTTGTTTTGCACTATGCTATAAAAATAAATTGCAATGAGGCTGGCTTTTAATGCTACAGTTTACTTTATGCTGTGTTTCTCAAACAATGAAACATAAAACTGAGCAAAACACACTAACTTAGTGAGTAAATTTAATATTCCAATTATAGTAAAAAGTGTATCTGTAACCGCAGGTTATCTACATGATCATTTCCTGTTTCATTTATACTAATTTTTCTTATACCTTCAGTAGACCTAGAATTTCAAAAAGAATGTAATCGAAGTTCATCCACAGTCCTTAAAATGTTGATTTTAGCTTTGTAGCTTTAATACCTTACATTTGGTCAGTGTTTTACATCGTGTAACATATTTTCAGATATGTTACAGTACAATGGGGTTACAAGAAAACATGAAGAAATCATGACCGAGCACATAAAAAAAATGACTACAGACATCGTGATAGAGATATGAAGATATAAGGACTACTAACGACGTCTATATAGAAATAAACCCATAAATGCTATATACATAGCAAGATGCAAGGGATACAGGGTGAAGGGGGTGTTCAGGAGGAATATGTTTTGTGGGGCTGGTAATAAAAACGTAAGAAATGCCAAACTCAGCTATCTTAACAGTCTGTTTATTAGGCCCATCCACAGGTGACACCAAGAGGCGTTTTATAGATCAGTGCTTGCCAATAGATGTTGAATATTAAATAAGATAACGATTAAAATGTCAATTGCCCAGGAGGGGAAAAACACCTTGAAAATCAGGAGGGATCATTCATTCACCAACTCTTGACTGATTATCTAGTCTGAGCCAGGCAATGTGCTAGTGCTCATGGAGACTGGGGAGCCAATGGTGAGCAAGTGATGAACCAAAGGACACACAATTCTATCCCAACCCAGGTAACCCCAATTCAGCAATTTCTACGGCCACATTAATCAGAATGTTGTAGAACTCTTCTTTTCCCTCATTTTAAACTTATATCATGTCCTGAGAATAGGCCTGAATAAACTCTGCCATGGTTATTAAGATTTCTTTTCAGGTTTCCTGGTCTCAGATTGAAGTCATTTTATTTATAATAATACTGCACAGAGTCAGTGACCTTCTGTTGTCCGCAGTCCACTCCTACATGTCTCCATCACTACCCAAAGACCCCAAAATCAAGGCTCTGAAAGAACTGAGAGTTTTTTCTCCCTCCTAAAACCCATCTCCCAAGTTCTGATTTCATCTCAGGCCCCACCTGTACTGCAAGAATAACACAGCAAGTTTCCAATCCCTTCAAAGGAAAGTCGCTTTCTCTGCAGAGTAGCTTTCTCCTTTTGGCCTCAAAAAGACAATCGTGAAGAATAAATGTAATATACATATAAAAGATGTTTAATGTAATATAGCAAAGGGAGTTACTTCATTATAACCTACTTAGCATTACTTATTACCACAACATTTTATCTTCTTTTTTCTTTTATTCCATAATTTGAGCTGATAGGTTCAGCAGAAAATCTGCAATGATGTCTACATCACAATGATGTCTATATCTCTTTACTGCATCCCGGCTAACACCTCAAATCCAGTTTTTGTTTTTGTTTTTTTAACTTAAATCTGTTTCCTTCCATATGCCCACATGAAGTTCATCTGCCTAATTCTTATGAATTTACACGGACTTGTGAGGTACCGCATATTTTTCTTAACAGCTTCACTTTGCACACCATGAAATTCATCTATTGTAATTCTATGGCTCAGTGATATTTAGTAAATTTATAGATTTGTGTGACCATAACCAGAATCCAGATTCCTTGTGTCTGTTTGCAGTCAATTCTCACTCCCACTACTAACCCTAGGCAACCACTGATAAGCTGTCTCTGTAGATTTACTTTTTCTAGAAATTTCATGTAGGTGAGATTACAAAGTATGCGGTCTTTGTGGCTGGCTTTTTCACATAGCATAATGTTTCTGTGGTTCATTCCCATTGTTGCACGTATCCTTTTAAATTGCTGAATAGTATCTCATTTTATTTATCCATTCAGTAGTCGATATACATGTATACTGCAATTTTCTTGCTACTAAGAATAATGTTGCTATGAACATTCAGTTACAAGTCTCATATGGATCTGTTTTCATTTCTCTTGTAGAGATACCTAGGAGTGGTATGACTGCGTTTTATGTTAAGTACCTATTGAACTTCCTAAGAAGCTGCTGCATTGTTTTCTAAAGTGGCTATATTTTTTTATATTTCCACCAGCAATGTGCGAGAGTTCCATTTTCTTCACATCCTCACCGACACTTTTTTTTTTAATGATAACCATTCTAGTGGGTTCAGAGTGGCATCACATTGTGGTTTTAATTTGCATTTTCCTAATGACTAACGATGTGGAACATCTTCCTGTATGCTGATTTGCTGTTCATATATCTTCTTTGGTGAAGTACCGGTTCAAATTTTTGTCCATTTTTCATTGGATTGATGTTTTATTGAGTTGTAAGAGTTCTTTATATATTCTGGATACAAGTCCAGTATTAGATACATAAATGTAAACATCTCCCATTATAAAATTTATCTTTTCTAATGCTGTCATTTGAAGAGTAATTGTTTTGAATTTTGATAAAATCCCACGTATCATATTTTTCTTTCATGTAGTGCTTTGGGTATCAGAGATTCTAAGAAATATTTTCCTCACCAAAAATTAGAAACGTTTCCTCTGTAATATTTTGACAATTTTTGTGTAGCATGAGGTAAGGGTCGAAGTTTGTGTTTTGTCTTGTTTCACTGCATGTTTTGGCATTGTCCCACCACAATTTTTGGTCCCAGCTGGAACCAACTGTCTCAGTATCATTTATTGAAAAGACTATGCTTTTCCCTATTAAAAGACCTTGACATCTTCGTCAAAAATCAATGATCACGTATGTCAGGGGTTCTGGACTTCCTCTTGTGTTCCATTGCACTGTGTGTCTATCCTTAACACCAGTACCACACTCTTGTGATTAATGGACTCACACTGGGTACTGTAAGTCCTCTAATTTTATTCTTTTTAAGAAATTGTTTTGATTTTTTTCTAGAACATTTGCATTTCCATATGTTTTATTATTAGCTTGTCAAATTCTACCAAAAATCCATTGGGAGTTTTCATAAGGATTGTATTAAACCTAAGCATCAATTTGTGAAGAAATGGCATCTTACTAATATTAAGTCTTCCAATCCATGAACATGAACTATCCCATCATTTATTCAGATGTTCATCCATAACTCTCAGCAATATTTTGTAGTTTTTGATGTTTAGGTCTTACACCACTTTTCCTAGATTTATTCCTGAATATTTTATTTTTTTTGATGCAGCTTTTTTTTTAACTTCTTAATACCATTTTCATGTTTTTAAATTGCCACTACATAGAAATACAGTTGTCTTTTGTATGATAATCTTGTACCCAGCAACCATGCTAAACTTGCATATTAGTTTCGTAGATTCCTTAAGGCTTTATACATATAGGATAATGCCATTTGTAAGCAAAGACTGTCTTGATTCTTTCTAATCTGTATGCATTTTATTTCTTTTTCTTGCCTTACTGCACTGGCTAGAATTTCTGGTACAAAGCTGAACAGAAGTATGAGTGGACTTTTCAGTCTCAAAGCATAAGCATTCTGTCTTTCACTATTAAGGGTGATGTTAGCTATACGTTTTGCACAGATATTTTTTATAGATGCCCTTGACCAGTTGGAGGAAATCCCTATCTAGGTTATTCAAAAGTCTTTCCTTCCTTTCTTCCTCTTTCTTTCTCTCTCTTTCTCAATCTCTCTCTCTTTTTCTTTCAATGGACATTGAATTTTGTTAAATGTTTTTCTGTTTTTATTATGATCATTATGTGGTAGTTGTCCCTTATTCTATGAAATGGTATATTATATTAACTAATTTTCAGATGTTAAATGAATCTTGACTTCCTGAGATAAATATCACTTGACAATGGTATATAATCCTTTCTATATGTTGCTGAATTTGGTTTAACAATTTTAAAATAATTTTTACATCTATACTCATAAAGTATATTGATTTGTAGTAATATTTTCTAATGATATCATCTCCTGGCTTTGGTATAAGGGTAATACTCTCTCAATAAGTCAGGAAGCATCCCTTCTTTCTTTATTTTCTGGAAGACTTTGTATAAGACTAGTGTTATTTCTTCTTTAAATATTTTATAGAATTCACATATGAAGCTATCAAAGCCTAGGCTTTTCTTTGTGGGAAGATATTTTATTACTAATTCAACATCATTATTTCTTATGTCTGTTCAGTCATTCCATTTCCTCTTGGGTCAGTTTCAATTATATTTTTCTTTCTAGGAATTTCTCCATTTTATCTAAGTTTAGTTTTTTATATAAAGTTGTCCATAGTATTATTCCTTTATACTAGTGTCAATTTCTATAGGGTCACTTATTGTGGCCCCATTTTCTTTCTGAGTTTGGTCAGTTGTGTCTTCTATTTTTTTTTCTTAGATTTATCAATCTAGTCAGTCTTTTAAAATAACTAACTTTAGGTTTCATTAATTTTCCCTATTATTATTCTCTTTTCCATTTCATTGGTGTGTGTTCTGATGTTTAATTTTTCCTTTCTTCTGTTGCTTTGGATTTAATTTGTACTTCTTTTTCCTAGTTTTTAAGTGGAAGGTTATTACAGATTTAAAACCTTTCTTCTTTTCTAAGGTATTCAAAGCTATAAATTCCCTCTAAGCACTGCCTTATCTGCATCTCATAAGCTTTGATACGTTATCTTTTTGTTTAATACAGTTCAAAATACTTCCCAGTTTCTCCTGTGATTTCCCTTGGACCTATGGGAGGGTATTTGCTGACCACTTCATTCTGCTGTAGCCATCCTCCAACATTCACTGTGAATGTCTGACCAAACAAAGGAGAGTTTTTCTGTTTATATTGTGTCTTCTTTTAATTTAGCTCTTTTTGCTTGGTGAAACATTTCTTCCAGGTTAGATTAATATTTTCTTTTCTTCCTGTCTTCTTTCTCCCTCCTTTAATTTTTACCGCTTCTGAAGAGTTTTGTTGGATGCTTTTTTAAAAGCTAGAGTGATTCTATCCACTGATTATCTCTTATTTACAGGAATATTTACACATCCAAAAAGAAATAGTTAAGAAGTTAGCAATGCATGACTTCATTTTTAATTTTCACCCAGTAGATTTGGTGCACTAATCTACCAAATGCCAGTCTTTCATCCTCCTAGTTTTCCAAGTAGAGAAGTGATAACTCACATCTATAATTATATTTCAAAAGATCTTTTGTCTCTCTATGAATAGAATCCCTTGTCTGCTTGTATGCTTCTCAGTTGACATTTATGAAGACAGATTACACATGAGAAAATGGGGCAAGACAACTGGGGGAGACGGTTACACAACAAAGACAATGTTGAACACACTCACTCCAAAAGTCCTTCACAAATTTCGAGTGTTTGCCATTTAAGCTCAGTGATTTATTTATATTCCAGTGTCTAACTTTCCTGAGTAAGTTTTGCTGTCTGAAGTAATAATATAAATTTGTCTGCTCCAAAGATTTTCTGGCCATCTTTTCCAAAGTTATTTTTGATAACTTTACCAATATGTTTCTCAACACCCACATTCTCCCAAACTGTGTGTGTTCAGGGTCAGAATTTGGCTTACTTAGGGTTAAGATCAGTTTATTATTAATCCTATCTTGTATAATAATGAAACTAAAACAAAGGGTCTAAGAAGTATGTTTGCATAATAAAAACAAAAATACTATTACTACTATTAATAGTAGTAGTGGATAATGTTTATTTATCTCTTGCTGTGTACCAAGCACTTTTCTAAGGGTTTTAGTTGTGATAAGTTATTTAGTCTTTACAATAACACCATAAGGTACATACTGTCATTATCACGATTTTGTAAGGTGAACAGTGGCCAGCAAGAGAAGTTGTGAAAGTCTCAAGGTTACATGGTAATAAAAATAATAAGTAACTTGTAGTGATCTACTCTACCTAGTGTTTATTAAGTACTGCTCTAAGAGCTTTATATGTTTAACATATTTAAATAACACATTTAATAAAATTATCATATCAAATTTAGTATCTGTTATTATTGTCATCCTCACGTTGAAGATGGGTAAACTAAAGCATGTAGGTATTAAATTATTTGTTCATATTCATGGAGCTGGTAAATGATCAATCTGGGTTTGGAGGGCCACATCCTTTCTGGGAGGGTTAGAGCTGGAATTTGAACTCTGGCAACCTTGAGCACCAGAGCTCGCTTCTTTCTGCTGCCTTGCAGACAAACTGCACATGAGTTTTTGGAAGAATTATTGAAGTCTGAGATTAGAAGAAACTTCAAAAGTGCCCATCTATTGAAAAATCTATTTTACATCTGTTGCAAAAACCTCTCCAAAATGTTCTCAATAAGTTTTTGTCCAGACGTTCTTTGAAATTTTTCACTAATAGAGAATATACTAACCCCAGGGGTAACTCATTTTATTTTGAGTTAATACTATTAGAAAGTACTTTCCTCTATTGTGATGATGAAATTTGGATTCTTATAGGTGCAGCTAAAATCCTTTGAACCTGAATTGGCCCTGTGAAGTCACAAGACATAAGTTTAATTCCTTTTCCACATCATAATCCTTTAAATGTATGAAATAAAGTTTTAAAAGAATCTTCTCTAGTCTTTAGTTCCTTGAACTATCCCATATAGAACTTGGCTCTGAGTTCTCTCACCATCCTAAGTCTCTCTTTTTTGAACCAGAAATGTTTTAAATGTTCCTCCTAAAACATGAAGAACAACACACATTTCAGATGCGTTCTGAACACTGTAGAACAGAGTAGGGCTAAAACTTTCCATTTCCATTGTGGAAATAATATCACGTGTGAAGGTTAAAAGGGGGTGGATGCTGAAATCAGCTGTCTATGTTTGATTCCTGCCTCCAACACTTATAACCACATTACTTTGGGTACTTTTCTCCAACTCAGTGTGCCTCAGTTTTCTCACTGGTCAAATAGGCATAATGAGTGTAATAACAGGAAGTAAGTGTGATCACAGAGTTAACCACTTAGAAAACTGCCTGGTACACAGTATGAGCTCAGAAACTGTAGGTATGATTATTTAAAAATTCAAGCACTTACTGAAGGTCTACTATATATAGACATTGACATTGCAAAGAGGGAAAAGTTACAGACTACAGTCCCTAGGCATTTTCACTTAAAACTCTAGACTTTATACTTCTTGGGAAGAGACCTGTGACTGCATTTGATTTTGGACAATCATAAATCATGTCACACTGTGGACTCAATTCAATAACGGTAAGGGGAAATGCTTGAGCCTTTTTAATGGCTGCTGCTGTGAAGTGTTACCTCTTCTGTCCTACTCTAGGTCATCCAGTTACATCCTGTCAAGATCTTTGGGGATCCTCATTGTGTCTCCTGGGGTATTGGTTTCCCATATCGAACCTCTATGTCATATGTGCATATGAGAAGCCTTCCATCAATGTCGGCAACCAACTCCCTGATAAAACGTGAAGTAGAACAGAATCAAAGGCAGAGTCTGCAGTGCCCCGTTGGAGAGCTCCCTCTGGGGAGGCGTTTACACAGGAATCCACCTGACTGTACTCACATCCAACACACTTCTCAATCTGGCTAATAACACTGTGGGAGGTTTTTTTATGAGCCTTGTTTAAATCCAAAAGTCTATGATTAATTTATGTATCATTGCCTGCTTAGTAATCCCAATTCTATTTTTAAAAAAGAGAGAGGAGGGAGAAAATAATCTTAGCTGAGTGCTATTGTTCTCAGGGAACCTGTGTTGATTCCTAACAATTACTGTCTTCTTCAATAAGGGCTCTCAAAAATCGTTCAAATAATCAGTTGTATAATCTAACTAGGGATTAATAGTAAATGTGCCTTTTATATTTTAAGATATACTTCTGCTTCATTTTGAAAGTTAAGACTTCATTATTTTATCACCAACCTTGTCTTCACCATTAACCGCCAGGACAGATAATGATGGATTAGAAATCTCGTTTACAAATTCTCTCAGAGTTTTAAGATTGAATTTTTCTGGGACTCAACACCTGAAGCATTTAAAGATATCCCTCACAATCACCTCATTTAGTTTGGTTTCAATTACTCTTCCTGATGTTTTTCTAGCCCTCTCCAATCTGAAAATCTCTCTTGACAGAGAAGTTGGCAGCCATATCTGTTATTACACCACTAACCTCAAATCGATAACTTCCTTTATGTTTTTGCTATAAAAAAGTTACTTTGATACTTCTTTAATATCCTTTGTATTTTTGTAACCTCTATTCTTTTGACTTTAGTCTTCAAGACCATTCTCCTAGGCCTATGACGTTTGTATATTTTCCAAGTGCAAGTCCTTGTTTTGTTCATTCAACAATTCCTTCCACAAATATTTGTTGAGTGCCTATTATTTGCCAGGCACTGTTCTAGGCAATGCGGACACAGCGGTGAATGAAACAACCATATTCCTTGACTTACACCCTAGTGTTTGGTATAAATCTCTGATTATTGGATTTATCGCTTCACTTTTTTCCAGCTGAAGATAATTTTCTTCTACATGCTATGCTTTAAATTGTTGAGTCTCATCTAGCCTTTTGAGATGTATTTTTAAGTTAAGAGTCTTGGGATCTTGGAAAAATTTTCACTTTTTCTCCTTGAAATTTCTTGGAATCAGCCCTCTGAATTTCCAGGTTAATGTCTAGCTTTTGTTCTAACATTTCCCCCTCATCATGTTTCCATGATTTTGTAAAACTAAATATAGCAAGGTGGAATCAAGAGACTTCACCGTAACTCACACAGATGCTGGCACATGTGGAAGTTGGGTTTCCAAGTCTCAGATTTTTTTTTGAACTTCTTTTTCATTATTCCATTTTAATCATGCATGGATTTTTCATGGATATCTTATATCACCAAGATACTCTGATAGCTCTCAAGAGGTTTATTAGGATATAGTTAAATACAAGGGAAAAAAAGAAAAGATTTCTCTTTTCTGCACATGATCAGATTTTTCATCACTAATTTAAAATTTTGTCTGCATTTTAGGAATAGCCCTGCCCTGGTCTATGCCATCCTTGTTATATGGACCTGGAGTATGCTGCAGTTTCCGCTTGACCTGGCAGGTAAGTATCTTGATGTTTGCTCAAGGAAACAGAAAATTACAGCTCTTGATTGTAAACTGTAATGAAGCTAAGGAGGCATTTGAGAGTATTATAATTTTTTTAATCACTTTGATATCCCATTGTTAATTCCAGTTCAGTTTAAAAGAAAAGTAGGTTGAAACTTAGGAAAGCAATGAGCAGATCCACTCGGGTACCTGGTGAGCCTGAGACAATTAAGAGGACAAGAGCACAGTTTTATACGCATTTCACAGTGGTTCCATCACTTGCGATTTGTCAGATCTTCTGCAAATGAGTTAACACATCTGCACCTCAGCTTTTCATCCATGAAATGGGGATGATAACTACTGTAGCCAGGGTTGAGGATTCTTGTGATGACTTAATAAGACATAGCTTGTAACAACTGTGCTTAGCATAGTTATGTTATTTCCTGATAATTTTAAGGGCTCATTTTCATGCCTTTGTCAGCTCCTTGTATTAGAACTTCACAGGGAGTAAAGGCAGTTTCAGGGCCACATGAAAGTTAAAAACTTCCTCAGTACTGGCCCTTACAGCCCCATTGCGCTTACTTTACTAAAGACATAAACCCTCAAGATTTTGAAAGAAGTAAATGGTTTTCCAGGCATTTCATACTAGTGATGATCTAGAGCTGCATTATCCAGTATGGTACTCACTAGCCACATGTGGCTATTTAAATTTAATTAAATCTAAATAATAGTAAACGTTCAGTTCTAAAGTTACGCTAGCCAGCTCAATGGCTCCGTATGGCAGTTGTATCAGACAGCACAGATACAGAACATTTTTACTATCACAGACGCTTCTACTGGACTGTACTGACCTGAAGTTATCCTGGAACTTCTAGGAGCCCTGAAGTATTGATTTGGAAATTCTCTTGGATGCCACTTTATTCTGAAGAAACTCTAGGATTTAATAGTTACATTTTCCTTAAGTCTGAGTCCTTTTATATGGTACCCTACCTGACAGCCTCAGGGTTAGAATTAATCTTAGGACAGGGATATTTAATTTTTTTACATCTTTTTTGGGGTTCACTTTGATAGGCTCAGAGGTTTTGGGGGCCATTTTAAACCTTAGCATCCACTTTCCGAAATAAAATTATCAACAGAATAGATGGAAAGAGTGGCTGTGGCTTTTTAGAAATATGCCAAGCCTAATTAGTAGTTAATAATTGCAAACAAATGTATGCCAATAACACAAACACAAACACAAACACACAGATTTTTTTGTAATGTGCCTGAGACGGTACTCTATACGCACTGGTCAGCTGGTGTCCTGTGACCGAGTATTAGGCACCATCACTTTAGATGTTGAATAATACTCTTAGGAGGTCCTCTGGGAGCTGTTTTCTGACCTTAACTTCTTAGGAGAGGCTATTATTGATATTATGTTGGTTTTTCCTTTTGTCATTCGCTCTGCTGGTCCTCACCCTCCCGTATCTTGTGGTTTATAGCCTTGCTTAGAAAATTTTTATTTAAGAAAGAAATTTTGTAAACTTTCAAGGGTGATAATGTTATGCAGCTGTTTGAAAAACAAAGACCAAATGTTACTGCTGACTAAATCACTATTGTATTTTCCAACAAACAGTACATTATGTGTACCCATATCAAAGCAGCTTCATAATATTTGCAAGGCTCCAGTTGACGAAGGCATTCTTTGTTTGAAAACTCCAAATGGAAGGCTTCATTATTATAAAAGGATTATTTTCTGCCTTTGACCCTGAATTAAATTTACATTTGAGAAATTAGAACAAAAAGGTTCATTTGTTGATTGGACCTCCTTCTGTTCAACTGGAAAAATCAGTAATTATATCCAGTCACTCTTGTAAACTACGAAACAAAGCCATAAGGAATTAGATGAAATTAAATAACAATGGCATTTATTTGGGCTTTTCTTCCCCCACCATTACAGAAATATGTGACTTAAGTTTGCATTTGAATATAAGCACTTGAATTTTCACAACACAATTTACATACACAGCTGAATCAGTCAACCAGTAAACAGGCAGATCCCAAAGAGAGGATGCAGGAGGGTCTGGGTCACGTATACTCCATTTCACCTTCCAAATTTTGCAGCCAGGTAAATCATGCATTATCCTGAGGGAGAGACAGTGAGAGAGGAGAGGCGCCAGGGCTGTTAGCCTAATGGAAACAAAAAGAGTCAGTGAATAGGGGCCTCTCTTCTCACAGATATCACTGTCCTCCGGGTTTCAAAGGAGGAAACTGAGGCCCAGGCAGGTTAAGAACTTGGCCAGCAGCTAACTGATGGAAAATGAGGAAGCAGCCAGGCTCCCTGACTTAAAGCCGAGAGCACCCTCCTGAGCCGCCTCCCAACCTTGCACTTCAAAGACCGTTTCTTCTGTTCTTTATCCTTTCTAGCCAGCTAATTGTGCTCTTCCCAATGGGAGGACTTGAATGTGAGCTGCAATTTTTTTTTAATGTGGCTAGAAACTGGAGATTGGCTTTCTTTCCTGTGCTTTATTGGACTTATAACAGATTATCTATTTTGAATATAAAATGACCAAGGATGTTAAACGGCAGGGTGGTTTCACATGTCCCCTCCCCCCAGAATGAAATAACACCCAATCGTGAACTAGCGTAGCACCCAATGTTAATGACTTGTACCTACTTCATTCTGTCTGACGGCGCTGCATTGAACAGAGCAATGTTAACCAGGCCATCTGTGTCTTCAGTACAGCACATCGTGTGCCCCTTGTCTGTGACAACGAGGGGGTTTCCCAGCCAGTTCTTCTGCCAATACAGTGCCGATCTGTGGAACATTGGAATCAGCATCTTCATACAAGACGGTCCCTTCCTTGTGGTGCGTCTCATACTGATGACCTATTTCAAAGTGATCAACCAGATGCTCGTGTTCTTTGCCGCCAAGAACTTCCTCGTGGTGGTGTTACAGCTCTACCGCTTGGTGGTGTTGGCGCTGGATGTCCGCGCCTCCTTGCGAAGTCGGCGAGAAGGCCGGGAAGGAGAGCACCGATGCCCTGGTGAACCAGCTGAGAGTGCGATACCACCTGGGGACTGGGCAGGTGGCTCTCAGGAAGGCGTGGCTATTCCTTTACAGGCCTCACCGGTCACCTCCGGTGACTCTCACTCTACACCATAGTGAGTCATTGACAGCAGCATGCAGCTAGAAGGTTTGACTTTCTGGTTCTTCTTACCGACAGAATCTTCCTCTGACTCTCTCTCTCTGTCTTTTTTTTTTCTTTTAAACCTTGGCATATAATAATTTTCAAAAGAACAACATAAAAAGTGATCTTAAATCCAAAGCCGAGGAATTTTCTTTCTTCAACTGAATGAAAAGAACTTTGATTAGTGACTATCGCTACAACTTCTGCGTGATGGTATCAGATGTTATAGTTGTTCAACGACTAAGTGATTTGTTTGTCTTGAACTGTTCGAAAAGCTTTGGACAGGGTTACAGCGACATGCCCTCCAGAGATTTAATGCAGACAAACTGTCGCGGCTGTTACCTGAAAATAGAGAAGCTTTGAACTTTGGCTCTATTGTCAGACTATCTCATCTGATCTTTTCTGCCATGTCCCTCTGACATCAAAAAATGTACATTCAGTGAATGCAGAACAAATGAAGGGAAAAGTGCCTTTAAAATTACCTCACTGTGGGCTGGAAGCAGTGAAAATCTCTGCCCAGCTGCCATAGCATCAAGAGCCCTCTTCATCGCTGCACAGACCTTCCCAGGAAAATCGTTTTTCTGGGCTGATGTGGTATTCTGTCATGGCGCATATGCTCTTACAGAAATTTTACTGCTTTGGCTTGGGTGCCTCACAATTCACAGCGAGCCATTTTGGTTACCGATCTGCTGGTTGTGAGGCAGGAAATACTGGTAAGGCTAGCAAAGACACAATTTCCACCCTGAACATGATTTGCAGAATTCGTCAGTATTTTACTTAACTCCACTTTTGGATTTTCTATGTCGCCAAGTTGAATTATGTGGGTTGAGGCAAGAAAGCACTGAAGCAGTGAATAAAGGTGTTTGGGGCCCTTTAAATGTTACCATAGTTGCTGGTGTCTGTCCCCAGTCGTGGGAGCTCCTCTGAGCTGCCACGACTGGAGACAGCCTTTGGTCTTGGGGAGGATGTTGGTGATGGAGGCTTACGTTAGCTCTACTCACAGTCAACAGCCCTTGATTAGTGACGGGGGTCAGAAAATGCCCCAGCATCGTGGAAGTAAGGAAATTCGCTTTTCTTCCTTGCATTAAGACTGCATTTCCCCTGGACTGAAATGGCTGTATTTTCCCTTTATACACCTCTGTACCTTCCAGAGGGAGGCGATTCAGAACCTTTTACGATGATGTTTGCTTTCAAAGAAACACTGTGAAAATTTACCTGGCTTTATAGCAGTAATTATCTGAGGCATACAGCTCCAAAACTGTTCTTTTAGGGTTCAGAGCATAATACTTCCTTGTTATTATGTTCAGGAATTCAAAGGGACATTAAAGATATGGCAGGGTATGACCTTAAACTGGGTGTGACCTACCGACAACCAACTGGGAGAATTTTATCTATAAATCTGTGTGACATGATGATGTCTGTTCAAAATATTTAATTAAAAGTTTCATAGGCAAATTGTTTTTTTACAGAAAAATTAAAATTTTCCAGTGAATAGCTTCTTCAGTGCCTGATAATCATGCTTCTTTCTTTTCTTGCTTGTGTTTCTAATTTTAACAATAGGATGATTGTAAAATTACAAATGAAGCTAATGGGACACATTTATAATTTTCCATAATAATTCTATGAAAGTTAAGACCAGGAAGTTATATTTATATAAAGTAAAGAACTTGACAACTTTTAAGGGTACGTTATTTAAAACGCTTAGCAATTGAAAGCAAAATAATAACTGCTATTTATAAAGACGCCTCAGCAAAGTCTGTTTTTATGTTGACTGTTTTATGTTGAATGTTTTCCTCCACAACATGTATGTGCTGCTTATTACCACAGATTTGCTCATGGGCATGCTTTTTATGTTTTAAATTTTTTCTTCCAGCAAAACAAATATTGGGACTCTAAAAATAGACTGAAGTATAAAGCAGTACGGCTGTTGCAAGGGTATTTTTAAAATGCTTTCAAATCTTGAGACTTGGCTTGGCTCCGTGAATGAATTTCTAGTATTTAAGTAAAGAATTTTGTAAATAGTGCTCTTTCCAAAGGCCTGGGAAGTAGAGTCTAGCTTTACTTACAGTGCCAGGAGGGCAGAGAGTGCCCAAGACTATCTCAGCAAGCAGTGGTGGCAAAAATAGACACATGCATGCAAGGTTTTCCAGGAAAATCCGCTAAGGGCAGCATTTGTTAACCTTACTGCCAGTACTCCCACTCGCTTGGACTGTTTTTATAGCCCCAAAAAAGTATCTATATTCATTAAGTTTATTGAAAAATAAAACCTAAGTCCCGATTGTATGCCTAGGACCCCTGATGAAAAGTTAAAATCAATTCAGTGAACTGTATGTTTTTTATTGTAGATTGCTAAATACTGTAATGTTTGAAAACATTCAAGTGTTTACTATAAAGTGCCTTGGACAGCAGTTACTTCCCATAGGTTGACATTTTGGAGCTTGCTTCCATTTTATCTGTAATAACGTAACTGACTGAGATTATCTGTATGGTGCAATCGAAGCCCTACACCTCTACCCACCCACATGCCAATCCCCAGCCATTGAAGAAAGTGGCTTATTTGTGGTTATTGGTGCTGTTGTTACTATTATTGTTGTTACTGTTATTTAATTGCTTGCTTAAAGCTCAACCAAGTGTCCTTCCTAAAAACATATCATTTCCCTTGTGAGAAAACACAGTGTGCATGTTTTAATGATGCTGTGTAGAAACACACTTCATAACCATCTTGTGCAGTTTCTTTCCTTACTAGGAGTCTCAGAGGACAGGCCGTGACACTGCAAGATTAGTGAACTGCCTTTGTCTTTGATTAGTCTGTTAATTTTTATTTAAACTGGAACAGATAACATAAGAAAATGGAAATTTTTATTGACCAATAACATGCTTCCCAATCCTCAAAAATGAAGACTCACACAAATCGATCAGTTGGCTCTGCTGGAGTTCCACTAACATGGAGCAGCACTTTTGGCCTTATATGACCAAAAAGATGTGGCCAAGCACTATTAGGACTCACTATCATAATATTAATTGTTAACTTGGTATTGCATAGAAACTTCTCAAAGCCCTGGGAAGGCATGCACTGCGGTACGGATGCTTCTGGATTTCCACCCGAGTTCCAGGGTTCTACACTGACTCGATTACCTTTGGCATTTAATTTCAACGACTCTTGATCAACTCTCTGGTTAAAAGAGAGAAAGGATTGCACTGTCCACTGTCCCTCTACTCCAGTGCCAGGAAAGTGATCCACATGATGACATATATTCAGAGCCTCAGATGTTTAGTAAGTGAAAAACTAAACAATCTGGAATTATAAGAAGAGGAGAAACTGTTACTTTTTTTTCTAATTTCAGACTATGCATTTTACTTAATGGGCATTCTGATCCACTCTCAGAAATGTCTGACTTGGGGTTAAACTAGGCAGCTGGAGGATGTTTATAGCTTTGAGGTTTCAAATAACTACCCATATGATGGGAGTAACTCTAAACAATGTTTGAGTAATCAACTCCTGCAGTCTTACATTCTATGGGTGTCCATCCTCTGAAACTTTCTTACTAGAGTATTTTATAGAATATTTTCTCTGAATTATTTATATTTATACTATTTTGCAATGAATGATACTTGTATTTTGTTATATATATTAAATAGTTTGTGTACAACCTTGCCTTAGTGTCTGTTTTTTGCCTGCATCTCCTGTCTTTGTTCTCCACTGTAATTCATTTTATTTAGTCTTTAAGCTCTGGTTTTAAAAAAAGCCCCGATCTATTTAGAATATGACTAAAGTGACATTTCAAACTAATGAGGAAAGACTGACCAATTTTATAAATGATGTTGGGAATTTTGCAAACCATCTGGAAAACATAAAGTTAGATTTTTATCCCATGTAATATATTGAAATAAATTCCAGATGAATTAAAGATCTAAATGTAAAAGTGAAAACTATAAAATATTAGAAGAAAATATGGAATATGTCTTCAGCATTTGAGGAATGGGAAATATCTTCCAAATCAAGATATAAAACCCAGAAGCTATGAAAGAAAAGAATGACATTTTCCTATGTAAAGATTTTAAGTTTCTAAACAGCAAAAAGTATCATGAATATATCACTATTATTTTCTTTACTGGAGAAAGAAGTCTGTGCACTACGACTAGAGAAATGAGAAGTACAGAAGTTAAGAAACAGGAGCCAAATTTATCATTTACTTATAGAAGACTGGGTTTTGAATATCTAAGAAAAGCATAGAAAAGCCTAAGAAACTATTACAAATAATCTGAAGTCACTTAAAAATTAATAGCTTTTCTATATACAGGTATCACATAGAACATATTTGAAGAGATTTCCATTATAATGTGAACTAGAACCATAAAATACATAGGAATAAACTTATTAAGAAATGTACATGACTTGTGAAGCAAACTTCAAAATGATTTTTAGAACCATTAATGAGTAATTTAACAAATAGAAAGATATATTCTACTGGGGACTGGTAAGAAGGCTTGATATTTTAAAAAGTATCAATTTCCCCAAAATTGATCTATAAATTTAACACAATCTACATAATGATATCAATAAGATTTTAATTTTTAATGACTACACACGCTGATTCTAAAGGTTTTATGATAAAAAGAGCAAGAAAAAATACTGAAAAGAATAAAAAAATAAGAGAAAGAGCTTTAAGTATATTTAACTATAGAGCTACAATAAGCAAGAGACTTTGATTCCGTCAAACAGAAAAACGAACCAAGAAATAAACTGAAATACATCAGGATTTTGATATATGATAAATCATGGGGCTAGGGGTGACCAAGTATTATAAGTGGTTTAAGGTTTGAAAAATATCCAATTGGATCCTTACCTCAATCCTTTATGTCCAAAACATTTCCAGATGGGCCAAAGAATTAAACATTAAAAATAAAAAAACAGAGAACTTTGCTTGGTGAGAATGTTTTCAAAGCAAGATATAAAATTGGAAACCATAGACAATTCATAAATTTCAACTTGTAAAATTAAAATTTTTACATCATAAAAACACGGTAAGTAAATTCAAAAGTGAAACAAACTAATATTTTTATAACAGATGTAACAAAGCATTAGTTTTCTTAATGAGCACAGGGCTCTTACAAATAAGAAAAAAAAAAACCATCGGAAAAATGAGCAAAAGATGTTAAGATATGATTCACTGCAAAAGATACAGTTAGAGAAACACAAATCAAACCACAATGAAATACCATTTTTCAAATGCAGACTAAACCACAAGATACCATTTTTCAATTAGCAGTTTGGCAAAGATTCAAAAAATTTTTAGAATGCTGTATTACAGGGGATCAAAGGAGGCAGGCATTCTTATTCCTTGCTGGTGAGGATGTAAATTGGTACAACTCCTTTGGAAGACAATTTGGTATTATCAGTCAGAATTAAAAATACATTGATCATCTGACCCAGCAATTCAACTTTAAGAATGTATCATATAGGTAAGTGTGTGCAAAAATATGTATCTAAGGCTTTTCAGAGCCGTATTTTCTATATTAGCAGCATAGTGTGCATCAATAGGGTAATTATTAAATTACAGAACATTCATACTACATAATATCACGTAGCTTTTAAAAAGAATGGAGCAGATCTGTGAGTGCTGATAAGGAGCAATCACTTAGATTTTTTTTTACGACATAAAAGTAAGGGAGCAAACCATGAGGTCAGCATGTCACTCTCTTTAAAAATGTTATCCATGCCTTTACAGGGGGCTAGTAAATGGATGAAATGATGCTCATATTTCCAATAACCATGGACAGTCCCACAGTTTTT